CTAAGGAAATTGTCCAGTACCATTTTTTTGTACTGTCACCTATTTACTTACATGTGATTCTGTCAAGAGCTTCTTCTGAGTTGATACCGATAAACAAAGGAACTTTGCTCATCCTTCCACCTTCCACAATGGAGTACATTGGTTCAGTAATAAAAGCAGTTTCACTCGGTGGTTCAATAACTGGAGCGAAGAAAAAACCTTGGACAATTTGTTCATTACCAACACTTTCCTAAAATATGTAAATCCAACTATAAAACATTAATTTTGTTAAAAATGTTACTCAAAATCATTAAGCAATTATTTACCTGGAAAGTTTGGGCAGCCTTATTAACTTGGTCAGCCGTAGCTGACCTCAAAAACTGTACTAATTCTTCAGTTGTAGCAGTTGGATTAAAGTTACCATCGATAGCTTTGGCCAATCGGTAAGCGATATCTTTAGCTCCATCCTGATAAGCCCAAGGAGTCAAGAGTGATCCGCTGTGAGAAATTCCTGCTCTAAACAAACCTAAAAATTTGGATATTTTTATGTTGTAGTTTTAAACAAACATCTTTCTGCACGACAAAAATTATTAGCTTGATTACCTTGGGATTGTGGACTCGCTAGATGGTAAGTAACTGATGCCCCTCCAGCACTAGCTCCATGGATCGTGACTTTATCAGGATCTCCACCAAAATATTTAATGTTGTCTCTAACCCATTTAAGTGCGAGAGTTTGGTCCTTCAATCCGTAATTTCCTGGTGATGCTGAGTCTCCAGTTGAAAGAAAACCTACAAAAGTCTGTTGTAACTGTTTTCAAATCGGTATAAAGTATTTATTTTGTCATACAAAACGATACCACCAGCAATACCATCCAAAAAGTCCCATTATAACTGATCATTGTATCATAGAAACTGTAATGACTTTTAGACCACAACTAATATGACAATGAGATAAATATAAAGAAATAACTAGAAATGACAATGAGAACTACAAAAATTAGCATAAAGCCAGAAATAAGAGAGACAAAGGAATTCGGTATGAATAAAGGGATGAAACAAGAAGAAGCCTTATCAACAACGCTATTTATTCTAGCCTTAGAATATGTACTACGAAATGTAAATAAAGAAAATCTGAGAACAAGAGGTGGTCAAATAATTGCATATGCAAACGATATTGCTATTATTGCAAAGAACATGAAAATAATGAAAGAAATGCTAGAAGAAATAAAAGAGAAAGGGGAGGTAATGAGACTAAGATTAAATCAAGAAAAGACAAAAATATGATTAGGGAAAAAGCCAATGAAAGAAAAAAATCAAAATAGGAAGTTTTGAGTTTGAAGAAGTAGAATACTTCAAATACCTAGGAGTTACAATAAGCAAAACCGGAGAAAGGAAGTCCGAAATAAAAGAAAAAATATAAGCAGCGAATAAAGCTTATTTTGCAAACAAAAAATTGGAGGATCCGTTATGGTGTGGGGGTGGTATTTCTTTGACCGCACGTACGGACCTAGTGGTCATACAAAATGGAACTGTTACAGCTGAAAGATACATATTGGAGATCCTGGAGCAATATGTTGTACCATTCGCTCCTTGTATCGGTGAAAATTTTTCACTAATGCAAGATAATAGATCTCACGCTGTACAGATCGTCAGAAATTATCTAGAAGATGTAGAAATTAACACTATGGAGTGGCCAGCATATAGTCCTGATTTAAATCCGAATCAAAATCTCTAGGATATTATCTTATGTCAAAACTGCTAGAAATATTTTTTTCATGTACTAGTTTTACCTTTTCTTAAACTTACCAAATGGGCCAAGTCTGTAACTAGCTGTCACTACTATTACTTCACCTTCAATAAGGTAATGTGGACCAGCTGCCGTGAATATTGAGGCTCCACCCAGAAATCCACCTCCATAAAGGAAAAACAGTACAGGATATGAGTTATTGGTTGATGGATACTAATATCAAAAAAATTGCGTTAATTAATAAATATTTACGCTAAATTTATCAAATGAAGAAGTTGAGGCATTTAATATAAATATTAGCCATCACTCGAGAACAACTATAAAAGTAGTACAAAAAATATATACTTACTTTTGGTGTATACACATTAAGATAGAGGCAGTCTTCTGTCTGTATGCTGCTTACGTTAATAAAATCATTAACTTGGTAGCATACTTTTGTATTTTGAGTCGCATCTAATATTCCACTCCATGGATCAGCTGGTTGAGGTTCCTAAAATTAGTTAATGGGAAGATTCATATTTAAAAACAAGGTGTTATATTTAAAAAAAATATTTAGAATGAACCTGTCTCGACATCTTGTCATTGACACGGGTGCAAATGTTTACACAAACAAACCTACAGACACTGGACAAACCGACAGAGTTATGATACAGAGTTTACAATAGTAAAGAATATAAATATTATGGAAATTATCTTCTTTCTTCTTACGGTGCCTTATCCTTAAGGACGTTGGCCATTACATTTGCCCATTTAATCTTATTTGTAGCAGCCCTGAATAGTTCTATGGAGGTCATGTTTGTCCATTGCCGTAGGTTTTTAAGCCAAGAGTTGCGTCTTCTTACTGGCTTCCTTCTTGCTATTGACTTTGCCTTCGGTTATAAGTTGAAGCAGTTCATACTTTTGATTTCTTATGATGTGACCAAAATATTGTGTTTTCCGTTCTTTTATTATAAGCATAAGCTCTTTTTCCTTATTCATCCTCCACAAGACTTCTGCATTTGTCTTATAGCTCATGTAGGATATTCTGAGCATTTTACGGTAACACCAGAGTTCGAATGCTTGGATTCTTTTTTGTGTTGCTTCTGTAATTGTCCAGGCTTCAACACCATAGAGCAAGGTGAAGAAAACATATTACTTAAGTATTCTAGTTCTCAATGAGATGCCCAGCTGGCGGTTGCATAGAACTTTTTGCATTTTGTAAAACATTGTACGTGCCTGGAAATTACATTTTGTTAAATCTGTAATCTTTAAGAAGTCTATTAGGCTCTCGAGTCGGCTTGAATAGTTCAGAAGTTCTTTTAAACTTGGGTTATATTGTTGTTATTGCGAGTGGTCTGCTAGTATTGACATTTTGTGAGGATCTACTTGATGGTAATAGAAATATCGTTGCAGTGGGACCATAACTGTTGATCTGTAGAGGACACAAGATGACCGTGCTGCCCTGCTAAGCTGAAAGGTCCTTACTGACAAAATCGCAGTTTTGGTACTAACGGTACTGGGTGGTAGCGAAAAAGCATTCTGTATCTTCGTTTCAAAGCTGATCTGTCCTATGTGTCATTAAATAGCTGTTCTAAAGTGATCCTTGTTGTCTTAAGTTCAAACTAAAACCTGATTACTAAGCATTACGTCCTATCTGAGCTTTACAAACCTGACATGTCCTATTTTAAGAGATAACCAGTCAGTATTGCAATATGTAATGATACCCAAAATCTAACATGCTCTAAGTGACAGATAGGACATATTCAACATTACACCTTAAAACAACATTACCTAAAAATCGAAAATATTTGTTTTCGGTAGTTTTTAGTCTTAAACATTATTTATGTCATTTAGTCATGATATTCTTTACTTGAACATATAAAGTCTTTTTGGCCTACCGTATTATGGTCGTCTTATTATCGTCGGGAGCATCCTACAAATAGTGTATATATACCATCGGATATTTCAATTACAATGGTGTACAATGACTACAAAATAAAGAATCCTGATTGTCAGGGTAGTTATGAACCCTATCGTCAGGAAATTGCAAAACTCAACATATTATTTGTACAACTTGGCTGTGAAGAGTGCTTCCAGTGTGCATCATATGATCTCCAAAGACCGAAACCAATTATATTAATCCAACACACAATTGTGTAGTGTGTGAAAACTATGTATCTCACAGAAATAAATATATAACTGTCAGAAGAAGTATGAAAAACATGTGGAATCGCAACTAAAATCATCAATCTCATAGTTTCAGCAGATCTTCAGAAAGGAAATGCTTTCAAGAGCAGATATGTTTAAATAAGTCATTTTTACTAGGCGCATAATTACTTTTAACGGAAGTTTTGTTGCTGTCGGGAAAAATAGGGACGTCCGTCCTGTAGTAATTCTGCGACACGAAGGAATATCAGGAAGAATAAAAGAAGATATAGTGAAGAAGATATATACTTTCTACCCATTCTTCCTAAAAAACAGGAATAAAGAATCAATAACAATTTGGCTGGATCAGAACAAGAACAAGAATTGGTGTTTGTTCAGCTTTTTATTCTATATAGTAAATGCTACAGAAGTTAACTTAAAATAATTAACCATAAAATATTTTGAGCGCGGACACACATTTATGTCCGCGGACCATTTTCACCACCATATAGAAAAATCATTAAAAAGGGTCAAAACTATTTTTAACTGCAGGTACATTTAAAACTGGTGTGACACTTCAACCTCCACAAACCTACAACCGAAGAATTAGTCAAGAGAGAACGCAGAAGTTGCTGCTATAACTATAACTAGCGGACTAACTCGAAATCGAGTTTTGATGTAAGATTTGCTGATATTTAAGAGGGACGCCAATTTTTTTAAATTGAAAATCGATACAGTAGTTTTTTTAGAATTTGCAGGAAGATTTACATTTGAAAATGGAAACAATATGATTGTTAGACTCCGCCCCCTTAAATAAAAAACGGAAGTAACACCGGAAGTAACTTTTTTTGCATATTTTAGATTGTAAAATGCCATGTTTAAGAAAATGAACTCGGTTTGAGAACTCGCGGCCCCTTCCATATGCTCTGGAACACCGTGAAAGAAACCATAATTTTCAAAACTAAATCCGGAAGTAGGGAAGTAAATACTTCTGGTTTCATAATTCTGAATTCAATCAGTAAGTATAAGAAAAAAGTAGACGCAGTCATATTTTAAAAATACATTGAAAATTAGGACTGTAAATTTTGAAGAATGAAACCTGTAAAATTCCTATACTTTACTATAGGAAAAATTCATTTATGGCCGCCATTTTTAAACCGCTTTGAATTTTTTAAATTTGAAACCTTAGGGAGAATCTACTCAATAATCTGTTTAATTATTCGAAAAAATTATTCTCCTATCTATCACCGTTTAGGAGGAGTATTGCGCACAAAAAAAGGGCTTAGCCTTTTAGTATATAAGATTCCAGCTCCAGCCAACTGGAGACAGTTTTGGGAAGAATTACCGTTACGCTATGTAGCTGAAGAACACGAAAATGGAGTATTATAAGTTTTTTTACAACATTAGAGGGCTATACTAATGCAATGTAAAAAATAAATGTCTCGTTATAAGTCCAATAAAAGTTTGTTATAAAAAAATCTTGTCCTATCTGAGATTTTTAATAAAATCCTAAGCTAAACCGTCCTATCTATCAAAATTCATGTGTGTTCTAAACTAATTACTTCCTTGGATTATCCCATAAATTCTGTATACACAAATTAAGTTCATTCAAAATTACAGTTCGATATTATTAATATTACGGATGGTGCAGCAAACTAAACTTAATTGCATTTTTCTCAAAATAGTACAATTGGTAGATAGGATCTTGCAGCTTAGCAGGGCAGCGTGTGTCAAACGTGTTTGTCCTATTCTCAATCCTTCTTCTCTCAAAAAAATTGCTATCTTTTCTTTTCTGTTTAGAGATGTTGGGGATAGATAGATGTTAACATTAGTTTGTATTTCTTTGAGCTTTGTGTCTTTGGTTCCTGCCACTTGCCTTGGATATGCCTTTTGAATTTTGATTTTATATCTTCTTAAGGCTGTATGTTGTAGATGGGTAAGTTGGATTTAGATGTTTCTTTTGCAGCGCAGATGTTTCTTTTGCAGTTTCTTTGTCAGTCCCTCGGGAAGTGTGAAGATGGATCGATTCTAGTATTTTCTGCACTAGATGATGTTGATTGTAAATAGTCTCTAACGAATGAGTTGCACATAAGGAATCGGTGAACAGATCTACACTTTGACGAATGTCAAAAGGGAACTTGAGAGTTTTTGAAATACTGAAGAGTTCTCCTGAAAACACGCTACAATCTTTGAATATTCGGTATTGTCTTAATACTGTAAGTTGTGAGATATCAGCCGACCAGTTGAGTCGATTATCTATAGTTATTCACGATAGTTCAACAGTCTCTTTGTTATTTTGATCATTATGTAAATTACTTGCAGATATAACCAAATTTTGCGTTTTATCACAGTTAAGTTTTAGTTTATTTGTAGCAAACCATGAGCTAGATTTAGAAGAAACTTTCTCATGAGATATTTTTAAATCCTCATCATTTTTTCCTGATATAACGTATGCCGTACCATCTGCGAATTGTATGGAGATATGAATTTAGGCAAATCATTGACAAAATAATAAACAATTAACAAAAATACTTTTTCTTGTCAAGTGATATTCGAATGATATTAAATTATTCTCACCCTAAATCGCAATTCTCCAACGGGTGGCTTTCCAAAAGGAATTTGTTGAAAAGCGTAAAAGGTAACGCCCTTTCTCATGGAATATTCTAATCGTCCTCGTAATTGGCCATTTGGTATAGTCACTAAAACGTCCTCACCGTTCTAAAAAAACAATAATAAAATTGGTCAAAATTGATTTAAACAAAATCCAGTAATGAGATAAAAACAGATGAGAATTTTAATATTAACGATGTTGTAAATTTTGTGTTAACGTGTATCTAATAATCAAAAGTAGCTAAATTTATAGAAAACAAAAAAAGCTTAGTAAATACTTAGTCAAAATATAAAAAATATACTCACTACTAAATAATAAGTTAAAATTAAAGAAAACAAGCATTTAATCAACACCATTATGCTTTTTATTAAAAATGTATTTTCAAACGACAAATTTATATGGTTGTCACTTAATCTAATCTTATAATACTTAAGATCCTAAGTACAGCTCTTATTTTTTAATGTAAATTAGTATTAGTTATATAATTCATCTTATTTTCGTTATTAACAGGTTCACTGCGTACGTAATCTAATAGGAACATGCCAGGTGCTAGGAACTTTGTTTCAACAAACAGTGATAAGAGTTGGTTGTTGGTATTTTATATGCTGTTTTAGATATTTTAAATATTATATGTCACATTTGGGAGCAAATTTCAAAAGGACGTGGATTCGCGCCGTTAGCGCCACACTTTAAATGTTCACACCAAATGCTAACGGACACGGAAAAAAATATGTTTTATTTGAAAAGTAACAAAACATACACTAAAAATAATAGGTAACAAATAGTAGAAAAAATATACCAACCAGAGTAATTTTTGGTCTTCATGGTATGTTATGGTATGAAAACGGAAGAAAATTAATAGAACTTGCTACAGAGAACATGAAAATATATAGCACAAGGTTTGATCACAAAGACATTCATAAGGTAACATGGACTTCTTCCGATGGAAAAATAAAAAATCAGATAAATCATGTCCTAATTAAAAGCAAACAAACATGACAAGGCAATAATCTTCGGAGGAATAAAGACGGCAGAGAATATTTGGAGAAAACCAACGAATGAAGAAATAGTGATAATGTATAGAAAACCAGCAATTACGGCAAAAATACGAACCCAAAGAGCTGCAATGAAAATATATATGAAAACATACTAGACCTAGACAAACGGATAAAACTAAAAATTAAAAACACATTAAAATAATCACAAATTAGATTTTGAGAAAGAAGAAGCACACGCTATCACATTTGTACAGTTAAGCCTAGCATTTGCATTGAAAAATTATTTGAAATAAGAAATCAAAACCAAGAGCAATACCTAACAAAATTATTTACTTGAACATTAAAATTGCTATCCAGACGGCTGAGTAAAATAAAATATAAAATTAACAGCCAATATTAATCCAACCGAAAAAAATTCAACATTGAACTACTGCAATAAAGAAAGACAAAAAAACAATTTTCACAAATAAATATACATTTCAAATGAAACGTGCAGTGCCATCTAGTCACAGTTTAATAAAAGACACTCCAACTATTGTAGAAATCTTTGGTACATGAAACATCGGTTTGCTCGATGACATGGAAGTATCTGCTGGTATCTGCCATTTTGTAGTAGTATTAATTGAAATATAGAGGTCACTGATAAAATCCCTATGTGAAAACTGAAATAATCTTGCATACAATTTCCTGCTGTCTGACGAGATATTTATACAAGAAATAAATTAAATATTGTGTCCCAACCTAAAAAAATTGTTCACTAGGTAGGCCTTAGCAATAAAGAATGACAAAAAAACAAATTTTCACAAATAAATATTTACTTCAATTGAAACGTGTAGCGCCATCTACTTATGATTTATTGAAGGATGCATCAACTATTTTAGAAATCTTTGGGACATGGAATTATCCTCCCTTTGGTCATAGTTGATAAAAAAATACAATCAATAAAATCCTTCTGCGATAACTGCAAGCCTGTGTTTACAATTCCTACTCTCAGATGAAATATTTATAGGATAAAAAATCATATAGATATATAAGAATTAAATTAAATATTGTGATCAAAAGTAATTGTATGGAAAAAAGAAAAACAGAAAACTGAATAGTGTTGTTCACCTAATATTTGAAAGAAAAAAAATACAAAACTAAAAAAGAAAAAGTGTTGTGAACCTCCAATGTTTGGAAAATTAATAGTGGTTACAGTGGGAGTATTAATAGTAGCTGAACTGATATTATTTGCATCTATGGTACACGATATTGTAAAAGGTTTTGTAGGTACCAAATAAATATTCTACAGGACTGTTTTATAGGAATAGATATATAAAAAATTATTAAGCAATATATTGTTAAAACAACTGTGTTATTTATTATTTAAATTTCTTCATTTTTTTAACTTGTGCTATATTAATAAGGAAGAAAATTTGCTTCATCTAATTTACATACCGTTGCACGTCATTATCTACGTCGATCTACGTCCACAGATCACCTACCTCCCTAAGTTATTAGTGGTCTGTGTCTACGTCAGAGATTGAAGTTGACATAGTTGCCAAAGTATAAAAAAAATCCTAAATCCATTTTAAAACAAATAGGTCACTTAATTATTGCAAAATTATTACCATCTCTTTACAACCACTATTTAAAAGGTTACGTGAAATTTTGAAATAAAACACACTAATTTTGTTCTAAAAAGAACAGATTTTATTAAATAGGTAAAAATATAAACAAGAGTGTATTCACACTAAAATTCAAAATAATAGAGAGTTATCAAGTGAAAGAGTGAAAATACGGTAACGTTATTTTGACAGCGGAGCATGCGCAGTATGAAATGTGAATAACGTAAATGATTTTAACGTTTACGGGCTCCCTTACCGTACGTTGAATAACGGGTTTGATATACGGTAACGTTAGCAGCGAATCGTATAAATTCGTCAAGACTCGGAACTCGGAGATTAAAGTCTCTGTTCTATAATTTTATTTCTGTTCATTAGTTAACATGTGTTTTCCGTCTTCTTGGTTAAGCATCTGCGAGAGAAATAAAACATTTTATTATATTTCATTATATTTCTCAATTATAAACACAGAAGTAGTAAAAAAGACAAAAAAGGCTGAGTTTTACAAGCACTGATAACCTTTTACTAGTAAAAGAAGTGCGAGGAGCATCGAGCAATAAGACAAAAGAGGGAATGTAAAGGTAGAAGGGGTAAACATATTGATAGACAGGAAGTGCCATCTTGAGAGGCCACTTTAGACAAGGATAGACTGTCTCTTTCCTTGTTTAAGAAGTCAAATTTAGTTTGGTTATGTTATTGTTTGTCCCAACTGTCACATGAAATTTTATTTATATTGAAGTTTTTTACCAATTGTGTCACTTTTTAGACTATTATCGTTAATATTTAATTAAAACTTTCTTGTCTGAAAAATATTTTACAGGTATTGTTAACAAGTGTTGGAAAATTTAAATTTAGCGCCTTTGCATTTCCGGATATGCCCGCCATCAGAGGCCACTTTTTTGGTCTCCTTTTCATAACGATTAGATTCCCTCTTTTGTCTTATTGCTCGATGGCGAGGAGTCAACCCTCTAGAATGCTCTGTTTTTCAAACCGAAAATATGAAAAATGTTTGGCTTGCTCAGGCTCTAAGCTATCAAAATTGAACACAGAATGTACATTTTGTATGTTATTATTTAAAATATGATTTTATGTTGATGTTTACAAGATGATTTAATATTAAATCTTCTATAACTTTGTCATTTGCTTCAACTAATATTGCTTGTTCTAAAATGTCTTCCATATTTCTGTAGAAAAAAAATTGAAACGCAAAATGTACAAAATAAGACAAAATATTACCTTGGATGAAAGAAAACATAAAAAAAATAATTATTTTTCTGTCAAATACGACATTTGTCTGACAGCTGCCAACTAATAACGTGAAGCAGCAATTCCACCATTTGATAACTCTAAAATTACATATCTGTTAAAACTTTATACCGTAAAAAATAGCGTTTACGTGTCAAAATAATAAAGGCTGATTTATAAACTTTGCGTTGGCGTTGGCGCTGGCGTTCGCCGTTGACCTTGGCGCTAGCTATCATACACTGCATTTATAAACTTTCGGTTGGCGTTGGCGTTAAAGATCACATCTTAATTTCTTGCCTTACATTTTTGATTTGATATTATTAATTTTTGCTTGAAAATTAATACAATGGAAAATGCTCAGTCTTTGTTAGGTGCAGTGGCACTGATACTTTGTATTCGAGCAGCACTGAGCCTTCGAAATAAAAGACAACGTCGATACAAACTGAGGCCCATTAACCAGAACAGAAAGACAAGAGGTAATTTTAATTATTATAAAAATATGAAAACTATGATACCCAGCAGTTTTTTAAATACACCAGGATACAGTTTCCAGTATTTGAAAAATTACTGCAAATGTTAAAACCAAAAATAAATGTAAACTGTCGCTCTGATTGAAATTCTGTTGAAGAAAGGCTTGTCATTATCTAAACTTTTCCACTTTATAAACACGTGGAAACATAAACAAATAATTTTGTTTGACAAACTTTGTCACTTTTTCGATATTGCTATTGGCTGCGATGACAAAGATACAGTTTTATTTTATGTTCTGAGATCGATACTACAACCACAGAAGGGTTTGGGTATTCTGTGCTACAACGGCCAACGGCAAAAGATAAAGTTGGTTCATCTTGAACGGAACCGAACGCCGACGCCAACGGCGAACGATGTTTATAAATGGACATACGAGTTTTCCATTTGACCATGTTTGTAACGCGAACGTCAGCGCCAGCGCCAACGCCAACGTAAAGTTTATAAATCAGCCTTAACGGAAGGATAAAATTTTACTTGATAACTCTCTAATAAAGTACCGAAAGTGTCAACACCACAACTGTCAAATAACCTTCGTTCGATTACAGGTAGAGTGTGTTCTGAACAAATGTTCATAAAAACGCTTTATAATGCATTTATATAAATTAAATGAAACATATTACTGTGTATTTCTTTAAGTTACTATTAATAGAAATCTTTAAATATTATTTCTACGCGTATATAATAAAATATGTCTAGTGGCTGTAGTGACAGTGTATTCGATAAAGTGATTCTAAAAAAGAACACACCTACCGCCTAAATAATAGTATATACCATTTTTCAAACTAAAACACTTGCACGTCATGATTTATACAAAGTGACGTCACTGGTATTTAAAATTTCGAGAACATTAATCTTAGAGTTAAAAGTTTCCTAACACAGCTAATAATACGAAACCCATACGGAACTGCTCGATCTTTCATAGGCGTCAACATGGTGGAATAATCAGAAAAATGTAATCATCATTATATGGAAAATTTTAGAATTATATTGATTAAATTACCAAAAAATTTGTTATCATTAATAATATAAATTTTATGAAATAACTCTTTGAGTCTAATATTCCACAAATTAATAATTTTAATTAAATATATTAAACAATTGTAAGCAACTGATAAGGACATACTTCAAAATTTTTTTGACAGTTCAGCGGATGGCAAAAGTGTTGCCGCTTTTTTAGAGTAGGAACTTTGTTTATGTTTTGATTTCTTACACAATTTGATTATAATATAATATATATTAATAAATTGTATTTATAAATACATATTAAATTTATATTAATAGCTTTAAAAACTAATTATTGTTGTGTATTGTGATTGTGATATGCCAAAACAAATAAATAGTCTGTAGAAAGCTGATAAGCTTTCATATAAGATAGATTATTTTGAACAAGAAATAATGGCGGGACGTTTTTACTATTAAAGCCCTATATATATTTACTGTTAATTTAATAGTTTGACAAATAGTTGACATTTTAAAAATTCCGCACTTACTAACTATTGTATTCTGATGTTTTGACAACGCTGTGGGGTTCTGACGACGTAAATCTTGAATGACGTGACCGCTTTTTTATATGAAAAATGCTATACATAATGTAAAGATCCACGCTCTCTACTGTAATCCGGCTACAATCGTGAAGCTAGGCGTGAATACTTCAACCTCACCAAGAAAGAGGTTAAGTTTGTGGTAATTCGTTTGGTTTACATCTAAGTTTTCAAAATTAAAAATGTTTGAAGCTCAAGAAATTCACGCGGAACATAAAGATCTTATTCACGATGTGGCTTATGATTATTATGGAAGGAGAATGGCAACCTGTTCAAGTGATCAATTCGTAAAAGTATGTATTTTACTTAAAAAACTTTTACATGTAGGCATATAGTAGTCAATAAGATTATTTTTGAATAAATACTATTATTATTTATATGCTCTGTTCAATTTTTGTATATGGATAGCGTTTTCCCTAAAATAAGTTTTAATAAATACTGATATTCCTATACATTTACAACAAAACTTATGTTGAAACATCAGGTTACTTGTATAGTCTAAGATATAGGAGTAGGGCCCTGTATTAAAAAGTTTAGATTAAGTTAATTATATTAAATTTGAACTAGTATACACTAACATTTATCTTCAACTAAATTCAAAGGTTTGGGATCAAACGTCAGATGGAAAGTGGATGTTAACATCAAGTTGGAAAGCACACAGTGGATCTGTATGGAAAGTCACTTGGGCCCATCCTGAATTTGGACAAGTCTTAGCCACTTGCTCCTTTGATAGAACAGCAGCTGTTTGGGAAGAAATAGGTAAGTAAATATTGTAATAAACATCTAATATAAATTCCTATATTTTATGGAAATTTCTAATTGAAAAAATTTAAAGTAAATAGTTTTTTGGGCATTTCTCAATTGCGGGCACTCTAACCTAACCAAATATATTTTCCTCAAGGCACTGCGTCACAGTGTTGCCGTATTTATTTTAGTAAAATATGTATATGAATGCTACAAATATAAATTTACTTTTACGAAATAATAATTTGTGTTATGAGAAGCTACAAATTTTAAATAAGCATAAAACTTGCCGTATTTTTTTTGTAAAATGTATATGAAGGTTTAAAATATAAGTTACTTTTACGAAATTATAATTATAATGCATTTCTATTATATACGGTAATTTAATTATTACTATAAATTTTTTATATCATTTTAATCAGTTGTATTGTATATGCATTTGATTATTATCTTTAATTTAACTAAAATCTTTGAATTTTTATATAATTTCAATGCATTTCTATTATATACGGTAATTTAATTAGTACTATTAATTTTTTATATAATTTTAATTAATTTTATTGTATATGCATTTGATTATCATCTTTAATTTAACTAAAATCTATACTATTAATTTTTTATATATCACTTTAATCAACATTTGTATAATATTATGTGAGAGTATGAAAAAACTGGAGACTTGGCAACTCTGACACCATTTAAGCCAATGTTAAATGTCATATAAATGCTTGGTTAGGTTAGAGTGCCCGCAATTGCGAAATGCCCAGTTTTTTTATGTTTTGTTGGATGTTTTTACTATTAAAGTCAAATACTTGTTAGATTCAGAAATATTGGTTGCTATATTAGGGACACATCTACAATTTTATGTTAAATTTGTACTGTAAATTACAAAAAACTTTTCCAAAACCAGAGGTTCAGTTGATTATTCGAAATTATTGTATTTTCACTCCTTTTCTTTTGATTTTTTTTTATTTGTCTGTATGTTTTCTACATATAGTTTAATTCATAATACATTTTAGTTGGAGAATTACCAGGACCAGGTGAAAGAGGTACCAGGCATTGGGTACGTAGAACAAATCTAGTGGATTCCCGCACATCAGTAACAGATGTCAAGTTTGGACCAAAATCTCAAGGACTGCAGTTAGCTACTTGTTCAGCAGAAGGAATTATAAGAATTTATGAAGCTCCAGATGTTATGAATCTGAGTCAGTGGACATTACAGCATGAAGTCCAGTGCAAATTGCCATGTAGTTGTTTATCATGGAATCCTAGTTTGTCTAAGTAAGATTATTTTATTATTATTTGTATAGTTGATGATACAGTTGTCTAAAAGGTAAAATTTATCTTCAGGTAATGAAAATAATTAGGTATATTTATTAAGTAATCATAATATAATGTACAACTTATTTATTTTGCTCTAAAAAAATGTAATATTGTCACTGTCTAATAATTTTATATTATTCTTAGAATGCACCCCCAAATGATAGCGGTGGGAAGTGACGATCCAAATCCAGCAAATGGTGGCAAAGTGTTCATATATGAATACAATGAGAACAGTAGACGATGGACAAAGTTAGAAACTATCAGTTCAGTGGTGGATCCTGTGCATGACATTGCCTTCTCTCCAAATTTGGGAAGGAGCTACCACATTCTTGCTGTGGCTACCAAAGATGTTAGGATTATTAATTTGACACCTGTAGAGTAAGTAGTTCTTCCTCCATTGTTTATCATTTTCTTTAATAGTCCACTTGAAAATGAATAAATTTTTGACAAAATCATCTGTTTGTGGTTTCTTTTTATAAAAATAGAATCAAATTGAAATTAATAAAGTCATACAGAAATCATTTGATAACAGTACATAGTTTATTTAGTATATTATAATGAAATGGTGTCAGGATTTCAGTTCTACTGGAACCAAACATTTATAAGTAAATAACAAATGAAATATTTGACAAATTAAAGTGATATAATATTTTATCTTACTTTCATCAACACTTAAGAGCGATATAGTAACCTTTTCAAAGAAATAAGTTAAAATTGCAGTTCTGCAAGATATATTTTTTTATTCTAATTTCTTGGAGTTCCCTGTTTAACAGAAAAATTTATTTTAGCGATGAACAGAGCATTCAGAGTGGGGTAACTAAACTAGACGTAGAAACCATTGCACAGTTTGAAGATCACAACAGTTTGGTATGGAGAGTATGCTGGAATCTAACTGGTACAGTTCTGTGTTCAACTGGAGATGATGGGTGTGTCAGAATGTTCAAAAGTAAGTCAAAAGATTTCATTAAATATATTAATTCTTTGTTATTGATGTCAATACAATGTTGCCAGGGTATCAAAAATGGTTTATTTTGTCAATACAGTACAGCAATATTTTGTCTCAAATATTTGACAGTAATCTGCCCTATTTAAGAAAACTGATGATTTTTTTTACTTTTTTTTTTATTTTTTAACATTGTGACTCTCTTGGTCAACATATTTAATGTTTTTTTCCATATTTTATTTCTCCCGATTGTTCATAGCAAAAGATGTCATCTGTTGATTTTTCTAAATTTGAGAAAATTTACATAGAGCTAAATCTGGTAAATATGGAGGCTTGTTAATCAATTCGTATCCCAATTGGAGTAATTTTGTCAGCGATGGAAGAGATATTTCTTCTTCTTCTTTTCATAGCACTATAACCCAGGGTGGGTCTTGGCTGACTGCACAACTTGCTTCCATCTTCCATCTTGAAGGGTCGTCCATAATAGTTGGGTAAGTGGGTAACTCCATTGTTCTTAGATCTGATCATATATTGTCTCTCCATGACATTCGTGGACATCCTAAGGGCCTTCTTCCTGTGGGGGTTTCCTCCCATATTAACTCGGCAAGGCAGTTATTAGGGAGTCTATGGACATGGCCAACCCATCTTAGATGTTGGGATTTAATTTCTTGTACTATGTTGCTCGCTCTATACATCTGCTTGACCTCAGCATTTGTTCTCATTCGGTATTGGTTGCTATTAATGTCATGATAAGGCCCAAAGATTCTTCTGAGGATTTTCCTCTCAAAACATCTAATTTTTCTTTCAGTTTCTTTGGTCAGGGTCCACGTCTCACATCCATACATGAACACCGGTCTAAACACTGTTTTATATATTCTAATCTTTGATGTTTGTGTTAGGGTTTTAGATTTAATAGTATTGTGGAGGCTGTACATACATCTACAATTGCTGCCTGAATTCTTCCTTTAATCTCTTCCGCAATATCGTTATCTGCAGTGATTGTTGCTCGGGGATATTTAAAACTTTCCACTCTTGGTTTCCCACAATGTCAATGTGTCATCTGCGTATGCTAAACTTTGTTTCAAGTTAAGAAAATAACATTACGCTTATGGAGATCAGTGTTGCCAAAACTCTCAGACACTCTCTTTTGCACGGATGTCCAAGATATTCCCTTTGCTTAATTTTTGAATTTTTATTTTCAATTAACACTTAACTTCAAAGTCAGAATAACTACTAAATAAAAGCCCTATTATCATTATGTAGTCAGAGAACGACATAAAATAGCTGACATACGCACATCGTATTATCTTAAGATGCAATTAGTAATTAGATATATGCATTCCAAGCGGTCAATATTTTCTACTGATTTCTATGATTCATGGCATATCGTATTCTCACCGAAAAACAAATAAATTGTCGTTACTATAATTAAAATAAGATCAAATAAAATTATCTTTTGTAAATACTATTTATCTAATTATAATCATTTTCCCTACTTTTCATCTCTTGTTTCGAATAGGCACTTTTGGTCAATTACGTTAAAAAACATTAATTTAATTCATGTTTGTGGAAACAAAAATACAAATTATACAACCCTAAATTGTGCTTGTGTGTGTCGTGGCAACGCCGCGTTGCTATCGTCCATAAGAAATACATGGCCCTATCTCCGCAATGTTATTTTCTAAACGTGGAACGTAGTATAGTAGTAATTTTGGTCCATTTACGGACAGTAATTCTGTTTTAAGTTGTGCTGCTCTTACTACTTTCTCTGAAAGTAGGTAGATAGTGGCAGAACTGAAAGTTCTGCCATTGCATTCAAAACGTTTATGAACTTTAAATAGATAAATTGTTCTGTCATAATTACCTAATACCATCATATGTCTTTATCTACTGTATAATTCATATAATTGAAGTAACCTGAGACGAATATATTTGATTAATTTTATTTTCACTGGTTATTCAAATACTTATTAATAAAGATTAATTCTTTTCAACAGTGATATACATTAATTCGTGGAAACCGGTAGCTGTATTGAAAGGAGATTCGTCCCAATCCACGTACGATCAAAGGACCACCAGCTCGACGAACAACGGAAGTACAATAATACCATTTTCCCAAACTGCTAGATATATCAAATTGGGATCTATAGCGCAGACGAGGGAGGCTCCTTGGCACTGAATATATTATAACTTATTTATATTGTTAATTGATAATTTTAATAAAACATTTTAAGGTTTTTTTTATTTTATTGTGTAAACATGATTATTACATCAGCTATTATCAATGACGTATAATATATAGACCCGGTGAACGCTTTAAAAAGTGTCCACAACATGAATACCTTTGTTATTGTTGATTGTTTTGATACGAAGATGCACGAAGTTCATGATTTCTTACGAAGCATCACGAAGTTGATCTTGTGTTTAAAAACATCATGGACATATGAAAACATTTTCTCCATTTTGTGTGTTTACATATTTTATGTGACAAGCAAATTTTATTTTAAATTGTTGGGAGTTATTTACATACTATTTTAGTAAAATGCCATACTATTTTATCAAAATAATTATTTCTCTTATAGACGGGAACAAAAAGAAATCATAAATATTTAATTTTAATTAAAAAAATAATTATTGTCATTAACATTTAAATGAGCACGCCGCTGTTCTGGTAAACATACCTTCAACCTTGATCGTAGATCTTTCGGACACTCGATTATATAGCGAGAATAGGGGATTGCTTAGTCTATATATTATACGTCATTGGCTATTATGGCGTACAATATCGCCAGTGTCTTAACCTTAAATCTTTGCTCCTTGCATAAGTTTGGATAGATGACGCCAGTGATTTTGGTCTGGGAATATTATTGATGTACAGAAGAACATTCTATTCATCTGAACCTCAAAATTGATTTGTTTCCACTATACGCTTGGAATAGTGTGCTCGTTTGGCAACCTAGCACAGAGTAAGGTACCAGTGAAAATCAATATCACTCTTTGATCTTTTGTTAGCTTTAACAGGTTTAAAACAGGCATGGAACAGCTTAGATCAGGTATAGAACAACTTCTTAGATCTGCTGAATTTTATTTAACCCGAAGTTATAGTATCTACTTGCAAGCACTCTTGACCATGTAGCTGCGCAAAGGCGGAGTCAAAATTCACGTAAAGGCAGAAAGATTCTATTGTAAGTGGAATTATACTAACCAAACTAAAACGTTCTACCTTCGACTGCAACCTCGAAATTGTCGAAATAATTACAGTGTTGGACTGAGTAATAAATAAAAAATTGCACGGTGCATAATCAAAATGGTTTTTATGTGCATTTCGTTTATATTTTCAATGATTTTTGTTTAAATTTTTTTAAAAACTGGCTTTAATTTGGTATTTTAAACTCAACTTTCGGTATTAAACGTGGAAAAAGCCCTACTATTAATTGCAAAATTATTGTTTATAAGTTTATATTTTCAATTTCTTATTTTAAGTTGAGACATATAACTAATATTATGAGATGAATAACTAATACACATTTAATTTAATAATTTATTTTTAACATTTTTCTAAACAGTTGTACCTACTTACAAATTAACTAATTTTTAATTATTTATAAGTGTATTTAGGACGGTAAATTAAACGATATTCAAAAAAGGGTAAAGCGAATAATTTGATTTAGTGATAATTTGTTTACTGATTTGTTGAATGCTAATGATTGATTTATAATTTGTTTGGAATTCTTCATATATCATATCAGACCAGAAATCAGAGATTACCAGGAATTGCAATGAGGTTAGATAAGAACAATTAACAACAATAGAACAATAATTAGGTTCTACCTACATATACGTGGATTTCCTTTTAGTAATTAGTTGGATTTAGTTATATACCTGAATTCCTTAAAAGGTTGCTGCTGTGGAGAAACGTTTCATCAGTGTAGATAACATCATAACCCTTAGCTCTATATATTTTTTTAGATATTCGGTTCGTTTGGCTCGAATATCCGTTTTTTTCCATGAGTATTTTTCGGTTGTCATTTGTTTTTTGCCATTTAAAACCTAATTTCTTCAACACTTTTATGAACGACGATAGTTTACCTTGGAAATTAATCTCATTCTTAACAGCGTTGTTAACAGCTGACATTGTAGGCCTGCTGCCATAAATCATTGCAAAAGTATGCACTGTATTTCTTATAATTTCTCCCTCATAACCATCGACATTGGTTTTCGGTTTTGGCTGATTAATCTTTTTTCTAGGAGATTTAAAGACATTTTCCGAGCTGCCTGAAGAAGATGAAAAATCGGAAACTCTCTCTCCTTCTTTAATGATTCTTTGGACGCTACTTTTAGAAATTTCAGTGGCTCCCACAACCATATTTAAAACTGAAGATTTTGTGTTGTTTTTTTCTTGCTCCTTTTTTAAAAACTATACACATTGTAAACAATATGTCGGCCCTGACTGTGAATAACACGCTGTTATTAATTGTGATGGCACTGTAAAGAAAAGAAAATATAAAAATATTTAAAAAAAAAACAAAGAAAAATATAAACTCAAATCAACATAAATCGTAACATATGAAGTAGTTAAAAAAAAAAAGATTTTCCAATATCAAATATTAACCGATTAATTGAAACAGACTGCAAGTAATTTTTGATTTGCACCAGTCTCAAAACAAAAAAGAAATGAAAAAAATTTAGTAAAATTCCCTTAATGCGCCCCTATGTATTTTAATTTATGATAAAGTACCTACCTTTTGACCGCTTTTAATAAATTTGAATACGCAACAGGCAAACGGGAGAAAACACAAACTTATTGATGTTATCACCTCAAAGTCAGAAACACAACTAAAAATTTTCAAGTCGATATTTTCACGTTGCATAGTACAGTGCGTTTCGCATGGAAGTGGAAACTAAACCAAATTTCGTCTACTGCGCCGTGGTCAAGAGTGCTTGCACGGACTATAATTGTATGGACCTTAAAAGAAAATTCAAATGGCCGTAGGAGACATTAGCATTATTTGATCTTTTGTTGGCTTGCGATTAAAAGATGAAACAACATTTTTCGCGGCTGTTGTAACTAATATGGGATGTAGCACCTAAATAATTTTCAAACAATTGGTAATTTTTTATTGTAATGTAAATGAATATAAAAAAATGTTTAATATTTAGAAACTTACACTATACCTTATCTTAATAACAAATAAACCTTTTATTTTCAACTTAAATAAAACTTTATAATATAAATCATTTCAAACTTAATATTTCGTATAAACATTTAACCAGTTACGTCCACAGTACTGAAGGTTTATTGCCGGTGTAAAATTTTGTGCTAAATAGAATTCATTGTTAGTTGTTTCTTATGATGTATCAAGTAAATGGTCTAGCATAAGATGGGATGAAGTCAATGCAGTCTTCCGGGAGTTGTTGTACCATCGGTCTGTCTTATCATCTAGTCTTGAAGAATTCGAAATGGTGTTTTTGTGTTTCTATAAAAAAAGAAAAATGTTATGTTTTTGATAGCAATAATGGTTCAATGCAATCTCTTGATTTCCACAACAGATTCAGAAGAAACAAGTGTCCCCATAGCGTGTATGAAACACATATAAAAGGATAAGATATGGCTACACTATTATCCTTTTAAAAATCTATCATCTCATTTATCTTTCATAAAATATGAGTGTTCAAAAACAAATGAGATTGAAAGTGCACTATGATTTTTTAATGAAAGCACCCCATATTTCCTAATTATACAATTTGAGCACGCAGTTCATTAAAAAATGTTGTTCTAAACTAACTAGGGAAATCTCATGATCACAAATTAATTCAGTTATCGATACGCTTGTTTCCAGATCTTACTTCTCTAAAAGAAGTACTTTTTCAAAACAAGGAATTTTTGGAAACAATATGAGTGTATTTTTCTTCCATATAGCAATGGTGTCACAAACAAAAAGTGACACCATTCCAACAACCTATCAACAAAAAACATTCCCAACAAACATAATGGAGTTTATAAAATTCCGTGTAAAGTTTGCCCTTCATTTTACAGAAAACAGAACCCATAAAGATTCAATTTCTGCCCTTTTTAGCACTCTTTCCACAGAGAAGTAGCCAACTTGTTCGAAAAAGTTAAGTCAAGTTGTGGACAAATTATTGCAGTGATACTTAAAACAAAATTCATTTATAAACGTATACAAAAAAACAAATCATAAATCAGAACAAAACACTTTTTATAAAAAAAGACAAAAATGAGAAAAATATATCCTCAAAAATCATAAAATTGGCGCAGTCGATAAACAAACATAACACTAAAGAACTTAAAATAGAAACTAGAGAATTGAAGAACGAACAAAAAGAGACTCAAGACAAGAAAAGTAATAGAAGAAAATGAATTATAGTGGAAAGAAAATAAAAAAGTCACAAGTGTTTTCACTATATTAATTAAGAACAAATACTTACATATATAATACTGCTGTCATATTCCTTGGCTCTTATGTTTAGCTCTGTTCTAAGCTGCCACTCCTGTAAATACACGTGCACTTTTAAGAGGGCCTTGCCTTTCCTTATCAACTGCCATCTGGAAATATCAAAACGTTAGGGTACTGACAATTATAATTCTTGGTTTAGATTATAAGATACCGGTACCGTGCTGGTCTGAGGCTCAATATAGACTCTCCAGTACTCTACGGAAAATATATTGGGTAGGGAAGCTCTCATCTTCGATACGGTGTAAACCAATTACTAAACGCGAACGTCCTGTTGGTATATAGGACCATGGACCAGGTGTAATTAAGTTGTAATCAAATAAACATTAGCGGATCAACTGAGAATCTTCAGCAAAGTAAGGCAGTTGCTGCAAAAATTACCAGTCGAAGGCTATTGAACAGTTAGATGTCGCCTTAATACAAGAGACCCGGATATACCAGGGCAAAATAAAAGGTCCGTTAGATTACATGATTTTTATACATTTTGGTTTATGGGGGTTTTGTTGTTGGAACTTTATAGAATACCAAAAGTAAAGGTGGTTGTAGCAGACGCTCAAAATAGCCGCCTACTTTAATACAACAAGCCATGCCATCCTTGAAACTTTGTAATAATACATTTTGCAAGTTGCCTGAGTGCTTTATCCTTTTTATTTCTACGGCTATCATATATTTTAATTCCTGAATGCTGGCAGGTTTTGTTTTATAAATTATGTTTTTTAATGACATAGGAAATAGTCTAAAGGATTCATATCGGGTGATTACGGAAGGCATTCGATGAAACGACGCCTTGGAATCTATATTCTACCTGCCAGTAATTCCACCTGCCAAACCGCATAGACATGTGTTGGAGTTCTAAAACGTATGTAGTTTGCTCCTGTCTTGTTGAACAGACAGTCCTGTCTTTGTTACATGCTAGTGCCCCGGAGTATCTAACGCCAATCTACATGGTAAATTACAATACACCATCTCTTGTTGCTGCTATAATCATCCATTCTTTCTGATGGCCACGTATGTTATAGAGAGGTTATCATATGTACAGAAAGCCACATAATGGTCTCTTTATTCATATGTCCATAGGAATTGCATAACCTTACGCCCATAGTAAGGAGGAGCTACATCACGTTGAAGTCAAATACTGTTATTCCTGAAATTTGTCAATGGAATGGAAACTACTCTTTTAGATTTGGAAATAACCGAAACAGCTTAGGTATAAAACTGCTTTCTAATAAATTTAAATTCGCCGTGTCATTCAGTTTCCCTTCAATTAAAAAAAAGCTCAATTATTTGTCGCCTATTATCTCTGTGCATACATTAAGTATTTCTCGATAGTGTGTGTGGTATTCACACATCCAACAAAGTGGTCTCATCGCAAAACATACCATGATATAAATAATATAAATCTTAAAAGTTTCTCATAAACTCTTCACCTCTATCAAAATCTTACAACAAAACTGTCTGACAACTATTGAACCAACCTTACTTTTAATGAATGGAATTTATTAACACGTAAAATTCTCAACAAATATTACATGTTAGTCATTATCAGTTCCTAATATCATTAAAATCTTATTTCTTTTTTCTTTCACATACCATTCATTGTCACTCAATCAACACTAACAATAACAGTTTATTGTAGTCAAAGTATTGTAGGGTTAAAATTGTTGCCATTATAGTCATTTTAATGGGAATATAAGGAATATTGCATGAACCATATTTAGTATTTTTTAAGCATTTCAAAAGAAACAAAAATATACAGGGTGATTTATTTGAAATACCAAAATTCATTATATTTCAAGAAAAACGATAAATCTGACAACATGAATACTATCATAATATCGTCTGTAATATGTAACCCCTATAAACCAAAATATTAACAAAAATTTACCTTGTAAGTAATTGAAAAAGTCTTGATTTTTGGCCAAATTTCCTTAAAACATTTGCAGTCCCAATGATTGCATCGTAGTGGCTGGGTGATACTCTTAATGCTTTCCAATAATAGTAAATAGCTTGTTGATAATTACCTAAAAATAAAAACATACAATTCCAAAGTACTATTATACTTTGCTGATCATAATGACAACCATTTTACTTAAGTGATTTTGATGAAGACACCAAGATCTTTGTTTCAATACACATCAGACAAACAGCTTAGTCTAACCAAAAACATAATGAAATTCGTTATTTTAGTGTCAGTCCTCACTGGTTGAAAGTAGTTGGAATCACGTGTCAATCATGGACTTTTGGAAATAATGAATTCGATTATTAACCCCCTCTGTGGCTCAGTGGTAAGAGCGCCTGCCTTTAAATCTAAAGGTCGTGAGTTCGAATCCCACCTGGGTGGAAATTTTCGTTTATTAAAAAAAAAAAAAATTAATAAATGAAAATAATTCCGCAGACGTTCGGATACAATTAGCGTCTCTTAGCAAAGACAATGACGTCGACTTTGCTAAGTATCAAGACAATTACTCTACACACACAAACACACACACACACACACACACACACACACACACACACACACTACATTAATAAACTTATCTTGATTGAGACTGGCTGAATGACAATTGTCCAAGCCAAAACACACAAAAAAAAAGAATTCGATTATTAGCAGCGCGAAAAAAATATGTCCCTATGTTGCTAACTTTAAACTGAACAATTAACAATTAAAAATTATATTTCTGATTATGTTTAAACTAATATTATAAGCAGCACCTATTGTGTTTTTTAGGTGGAACAATTTAATCCAGTAAAAGTCTATTTTTCAATTCAAGTTTAGAGACTGTAAAATTTGATTTGCTGGCGCTATATTATTTGTTATTTGATTTACCATAAACAATAAATTCATCTGTATAAATACTGTAGTTGGGCCATCGAAAAGATAGAATTATCACGTGAACGCCATGCGCTGGTTACGAGTTGCAATCCCCAATATCACAAGTTCGATTTACACTTCCCAAAAAGAGAGAGACAATAATTGTCATTATGGATGCGGTAAAACTCATAATATACACATTGAGAACTTTAATTTTATTTATCATGGAATAATGCAGTACGATATTTATAATATATTACTGACTATGTAATATGAACATAGTGTTTTCAAAATCTAACACAAACTGATTTCATTTAATTAGTGTGCTGTGTACACGGCTTTTTCCGTTCGGTTTCAATTCAAACGGGTGTACCTTTGCAAACAGCCAATCACAACCATGAAACCATCCAACACTGAGCTTATTATATAATTTACATTTTATTTATTGATAAATAGATATTTTCCCTTACCTTTTCTAGTAAGTAAATGGCCCAATTGCGTCCCATAAAATGGGTCATTTGGAGAAAGTTCAACCGCAGACTTTAGTAGTTTATATAAATCGTCGTGGTCAGATCCTAATAGTTTGGTCATTTCCACGTAAGCCGGGGTAAACGCAGGTTCAAGTGAAATACACTTTTTTAACATTTCTTCTGAGTCTTCCAGTCTCGACAACTTCCTACAATGTTTAAAAATATTTTATTAGTTTCAATTGCATTATTTTTCAAAATAATTTTCTACGTCAATATTTAATATATAAAATTAGATTTTATAAAACGTATCACCGTTTTTAAGATAACCAAACAGTTTTTGGGTATCGGTGTTTTTTCCTATCGAAGTTCGTCAGTTCTCAGAGATGTCGTATTTTTGCCACTTCTTATTATTTTTAGGGCACTGTAGCAGGATAAAAAAGAAAGTATTCCAGAACCAGTTTTATCGTATTGTGTCTGCAGGGTCTTCCACTAGGAACTTTTATAGTTGGTAGCAGCCACATTGTTAAAGCTCCACACGTCACATTAGCTGTCATTGATTCAGTCTGTTTTACTAAATTGTCGTGGATGTATCTAGCATTTATTTTTGGTTTGCTTTTGATATGGTTTTGATTTGCTTACGATTTGGTTTTGGTTTGGTTATGGTATGGTTTTGGACGGTTTTGATTTGGTTTTGGTTTATTTTTAGTATTGTTTTGGTTTTGTTATGGTTTGCTTACGGTTTGGTTTTGGTTGGGTTTTGGTTTGTTTTGGTTGGTTTTGGATTGTTTATGGTTTGGTAATGGTTTGGTTTTCGTTTGATATTGGTTTGGTTTTGATTTGGTTTTGGTTTTGTTTTGGTTTGGTTTTGGTTTGGTTTCGGTTTGGTTATGGTTTGGTTTTGGTTTGGTTATGGTTTGCGTTGATTTGGTTTCCGTTTTGTTTTGGTTTGGTTTTGGTTTGTTATTGGTTTGGTTTTGTTTTGGTTTGGTTTTGGATTGGTTTTGGTTGGTTTTGGTTTGATTTTGGTTTGGTTTTGGTTTGGTTTTGGTTTGGTTTTGGTTTGTTTTGGTTGGTTTTGGTTTGGTTTTGGATTTGTTTTGGTTATGGTTTGGTTTTGGTTTGGTTTTGGTTTATTATTTGTTTGGTTTTGGTTTGGTTTTGGTTTGGTTGTAGTTTGGTTTTGGTTTGGTTCTGGTATGGTTTTGGTTTGGTTTTGGTTTTGTCTGGGTTTGGTTTTGGTTTGGTTTTGGTTTGATTTTGGTTTTGTTTTGGTTTTGTTTTGGTTTGGTTTTGGTTTGGTTTTAATTTGGTTTTGGTTTTGTTTTGGTCTGGTTTTGGTTTGGTTTTGGTTTGGTTTGGTTTTGGTTTGGTATTGGTTTGGTTTTGGTTTATTATTTGTTTGGTTTTGGTTTGGTTGTAGTTTGGTTTTGGTTTGGTTATGGTATGGTTTTGGTTTGGTTTTGATAAGGTTTTTTGTTTCTTTAAGTTGTAGGATATTATCTGATTAATGCATCTACACACTGCGTGATTGATAATTACAGTCGCTTGTGAAGTTTCATTTACATGAAAAGAAAATTCAGCCATATCATGCCGGCGTAAACGCAGGTTCAAGTGAAATACACTTTTTTAACATTTCTTCTGAGTCTTCCAGTCTCGACAACTTCCTACAATGTTTAAAAATATTTTATTAATTTCGATTGCATTATTTTTCAAAATAATTTTCTACGTCAATATTTAATATATAAAATTAGATTTTATAAGACATATTACAGTTTTTAAGATAACCAAACAGTTTTTGGGTATCGGTGTTTGTTCCTATCGAAGTTCGTCAGTTCTCAGATATGTCGTATTTTTGCCACTTCTTATTATTTTTAGGGCACTGTAGCAGGATAAAAAAGAAAGTACTCCAGAACCAGTTTTATCGTATTGTGTCTGCAGGAACTAGGAACTTTTATAGTTGGTAGCAGCCATATTGTTAAAGCTCCACACATCACATTAGCTGTCATTGATTCAGTCTGTTTTACTAAATTGTCGTGGATGTATCTAGCATTTGGTTTTGGTTTGTTTTTGATATGGTTTTGATTTGCTTACGATTTGGTTTTGGTTTGGTTATGGTATGGTTTTGGACGGTTTTGATTTGGTTTTGGTTTATTTTTAGTATTGTTTTGGTTTTGTATTGGTTTGCTTACGGTTTGGTTTTGGTTGGGTTTTGGTTTGTTTTGGTTGGTTTTGGATTGTTTATGGTTTGGTAATGGTTTGGTTTTCGTTTGGTATTGGTTTGGTTTTGATTTGGTTTTGGTTTTATTTTGGTTTGGTTTTGGTTTGGTTTCGGTTTGGTTTGGTTTGGTTTTGGTTTTGTTTTGGTTTTGGTTTGGTTTGGTTTTGGTTTGGTTTTGGTTTGGTTTTGGTTTTGGTTTGGTTTTGGTTTGGTTTTGGTTTGGCTTTGGTTTGGTTATGGTTTGGTTATGGTTTGCTTTTGGTTTGGTTTTGGTTTTGGTTTGGTTTTGGTTTGGTTCTGGTTTGGTTTTGGTTTGGTTCTGGTTTTGTTTTGGTTTTGGTTTTTGTTTTGTCTGGGTTTGGTTTTGGTTTGGTTTGGTTTTGTTTCGGTTTGGTTTTTGTTTTGTCTGGGTTTGGTTTTGGTTTGGTTTTGGTTTGGTTTTAATTTGGTTTTGGTTTGGTTTTAATTTGGTTTTTTGTTTTGTTTTGGTCTGGTTTTGGTTTGGTTTTGGTTTTGGTTTGGTTTTGGTTTGGTTTTTTGTTTGGTTTTGGTTTGGTATTCGTTTGGTTTTGGTTTATTATTTGTTTGGTTTTGGTTTGGTTTTGGTTTGGTTGTAGTTTGGTTTTGGTTTGGTTCTGGTATGGTTTTGGTTTGGTTTTGGTAAGGTTTTTTGTTTCTTTAAGTTGTAGGATATTATCTGATTAATGCATCTACACCACTGCGTGATTGATAATTACAGTCGCTTGTGGAGTTTCATTTACATGAAAAGAAAATTCAGCCATATCATAGATCACAAAGAGATGCTGATAAAATCCGTAAAAATCAAGCTGTATTTTGGAGAAAAGCAATGATGCTTTTTAATTTGAAGCAAAATTTTTCAGTTATTCTTTGTTCCGTTTTGGTAGTTCTAGATAAGATATGGTAGATCTATCATAGTTTAGTAGTCTAATCAATAAGAATAAAATGGATATAAATGCTTTTAACAGTACTAACTAAAATAATTTTAATTTTTATATCTATCTCCATAATTATATTTGTTATTTACCTGTATAGCTGACCCAAATTATAATGGGCATTAATGTGATCTGAAGAATAATTTATAGCTGATAAGAAGTGTTCTTCTGCTTCTGTCTTATTATTTAATAATGTACCTAAATTATTGTGTGCGCTGGCATAAGTTGGCCAAAGACTGAAATAAATAAAGTAATAATTACATCAAGTATTGTTAATAACATATGCTAATTTAACTATAATTATGAGCTTTACGAAGAAGAAAATTGAAAGGTAAAGAAATAGCAATAAAAAATATGGAAGAATTGATTGTTACTGACAAAGTAGAAATCAAGATGATTTATTATTTCATGATAAATCATAAAAACAGTAATAAGATTGAGATAAATAAATATAGATAAATATTTATGTTTTTCTAATGGTAAATAAATAAATACTTACTCTATGGCTTTGTAGTAATGGAATTTAGCTAACTCTTGTTGAGAAGAATCTCGTAAAAAATTGGCGTAATTATAATGCATCTTTGCATTATGAGGTAGAGTTTTTAAACCTGATCTAAAACGACGAATTATGTTAAAAAAGTCAAATAAACGTTTATTAATTGCCTAAATAAACCTAAATTATATAATTGTTTTATAAATTACAGGAAACTAATTAAGTAAGAGCCGCGATGGCTAGCAGCTCAGTAACAAAACTCAGCAAAGTGACGAAAACCTCATACTATTTCATCTCATCCTTTGATTCATATCAGCCCATTTCTAGAGTATACTGTTGTCCTGAAGCTATTTTCTTGTGGCATTGTAAATTAATTACTATTTAACTGGGAATAAGCCACAATTAAAGATAAAAATACGTTTATTGACGTTTCAATTTCCACTTCGGAAATCTTTCTCAAAATACAAACAGTAAATTAAACAAATTTTGTTTTTTGTTTCATAGTGAAAAATTCTTCTAATAATTTAATTTTATCTGACTCATTTATATTGACACCATTGAGGCCAACTGTGTCGCAAATTCCTCGGCAGAATGTAGTAGGATCTGGTTACCAATATTGAAAGAGGAAGTTATTAATAAGAAAATACCAGTATTAGTAAGTCAGTAACATATAGAGGATACATCATTTATGTTTTTTAAATAACGAAACATATAAAATCAGAAATTTTGGTGTTTGTTGAAGGTAAACTAAATTCACGAACAAATACTTACAATGTCGGGATAGTATTATGAGGTTTTTTTTCCTGGTTTTTTCCTCATAATTTACTATGGAATAACTAACAGGAGAATTTTACTGTCATTATATCATGTGTTTGTCTTTTTAAAGACGAATCACATGCTATGATTTTTTTCTGACGGATATTCTCAAGTTAAAGTTGATTTCATGTAATCGAATGAAATATCTTATAAGTAAAGTCGTCCCAGGAGCGCAACTCAACAATATTGGCAATATCATTTTAAAGTCGCCTACTTTAAAATGCATAATGTATGTCTGAATTGTCAATATAAATGAGTCAGATAAAATTAAATTATTAGAAGAATTTTTCACTATGTAACAACAAACAAAATTTGTTTAATTTACTGTTTGTATTTTGAGAACGATTTCCGAAGTGGAAGTTAAATAGTAATTAATACACTATTGTCATTAAAAATATGAAGAGTACAATCAACTCTTCATTTGCGTCAATGTCAGAATGCTCTTCATGGCATAAAAAAACTAATGGAAACTTTGCCTTATGCCGAATTACATACGGCATCAGTAGAATGGATAAGTTAAAGCTCGTAATATGAGTATATCCTTATCAGCTGCAACAACAATTGCTGCAAACATGAAATAGTTTTTTGACGCATTGGACTGAGAAGGACATTTTGAAGCATCATCAAGGAGATTCATTCGCTTTAAGCAAAGCCATGGATAAAGGAGATAGGAAATAAGTTAGAATAGTCTTTTCTTCAACTGATATAAGCTATGGAACAAATTTATAATGTAGACGAATTGAATCTTTTCTGGAAATATCTTCCAACTCGGACGCTAGAACGCTGTGTTCTAAATCACATGTACTAAACATTTAATTATTTCTATATAAGAAGCTGTTGGTGAGTTAAAAACTAATCGGTATCTTGGGTATATATAAAACGAATTACACAGATATTTATAGAATTCGTCTAAATGGAATAGATAACTATTGAACCATATCTGACCCTCGCGTCTCTTCGCTATTTTGGTGTACTGTAGAAAAAAATAGTAAATTAAAAACTTTTGTTTACCTCAACAACCATTCACGAGATCTCCAATCTCTATTTCTCATGATAGTTCTTAAACTCTGTGTTACCAAAAACAATAGTAGTAAGACAGATATGGTTTGTCTCTGCCTCGAATATTTCGTCCAAACTATTTGTAATCCATAAACCACCAGTAATATAAAACCTAAACTAAAACAATACAAAAAAATATTTTACAAATGTATAACAAAATTTATATAAAAAATTTTACGATTTTAATAGAATATCAAAAAAATCTATACGGAAATTATTCTTTCTCTATGATATTTATGTACTAAAAATGTAAACCTCGCGTTGGTATGATGCCTGAAACTGATATGCCTTTTTGTACGATTCCAAAATAGCAGAAATGTAAATATCAAAATCTAAAATAGAGTTAGGGGTAAGAGGATGAATAACCAAAGTGGCCATAGGTATGTATTGGCTTATTATATAAGGGTGCATACACCTAGTTGAAAATAAGGTGGTAGCAAGTATAAAAAACAAACATAATGACCAAAACTTATTTGATAGCTGTTGGAGAGCTGATCAAAAGCTGTTTGAGACCTCTTTAAGACCCGTTTAAGACCTGTTTAAAACCATTTCAAGACCTTATCAAGATCTGTTCAGGACCTGTTTTAGACTTTCTGAAGGTCTGTTCCAGACCCTATCAGAACCATTAGAACAGCCTCTGATCAGGTCTAGAACAGGTCTTTATCAGGTTTCGAACAATGATCTGAATGAATGTTGAAGATTTCCCATAGATGTTATTGAAGATGTTAATTGTCTTAAAAAAATCCAGTCTTTTGCATGTGTGGGTTACGTTATTCCCTACGACACAAACACAGGGCTAATATACATTGAACGACAAATGTTTTTTTATATAGAATGAAATTCTTTAAGCATATCAGAATAATGCGAAGATCAAGAGTTTTACTAACCATAGAACATAAACTATGAATATAAATCAAAACAAGAAACCAAAGTGTGGTTAGTATGTATCGAAGTTCACGGAAATCAATTAAATAGTAAAATATATATCAAAGTATAGAATCGCGTTTTTTATCGAATTATTAAATTTATTTCAAAATTTTGTATTAAGTGTTAATATACATACCTTGGATATAAAGTACTCTCTCTGCTACAACGAAACCTACAGTTACCAACAAATTTGTAGCAGGTAAAAAAGGCACTGTGAGAAGTAATAAACCTAAAACTATTGGTGTATGTGTTTGACCCTAAAAATATGTAAAACATGTTATAAATATACCCATAAGTTCAAGTAAGATAAGTGATATAGATAAAAGAACATCCAGGAATACTGAAATTATTACAAATTATAGAAAAATTTAACAGTTGGAAAATATGTATAAAATTAATAATGTCTTGAATCTCCAAGATGTCTTTAGCATCCAGAAATGCATCTGGGCGTAATTCTAACGGGACAATCGATTTCATCTTGCTCTTGAGGTATCTAATATTCTTTCCCCAATGTTCTAATGAGTGAAATATCTGGGAATCTAGAGAGCGAAGGAAAAAAATCGATTTGTCTTCAAAATGGGCCAACGTAATTCTGGCTGTATCTGATCTTACTAATGTGATTATTTTGTTAAAAAAGTGAATTGGTGTGCATCCGTATATAGGATAAATGTCCTGGATGTATCATAAGGCGGTTATGTTTCCTCTGATGAATATCAAAGGTGACCTGCTTCCGTAAGAAATCTTGTACCATAATTCCAACAGCATGTACATGCCTTTTCACAGAAAATTGAGGATCTAGTCTTTCGTTAGTCCGCAGTATCACCCTTGTGAAGGCCATCTTGCATGCCTAAATAGAACCTAGATTCGTCACATAAGACGAAGGTATTCCATTCGAGGTCCCAGTTCAGCCGTTCTCTGTACCAAGCCAGTCGATTACTTCAATGCCTAGAAGTAAGAGGTAGGACTAAATAGGGACGGGATGAAGTAAGTCCAAAACCTCTAATACAGCAATAAGCAGTTGGATTTGTATTATGCCTCGTATACTTTAAAATTTTGACTTTATCGACGTGAAGCTGTGTCGTAGCTGCAATTGACTTTATCGACGTGAAGCTGTGTCGTAGTGACAAACGCCTAAGACGGCAATCTTGTTGTAAAGACATTCTACTGACAAGCCCTGTAACTCTTTGTGTGCAGCTTTTCTGATTACATGTCCAAAAATAAACCACGGCCATACTAATACTATTGTTTAGTTTCTTGTCTATTTTTCTTCTTTTTTTTCCTTCTTGTATGTAGGACTTTAAAGCCTGTTTCTTCTTCAATATCAAAACAAGATATGTTAGTTTATTGCACTCGATGGCCTTTTCTGTGATTTGTCTTAGTACAAATACGGCGTCTATGGAGGATCTTCTGGAACTGAATCCTTGTTGTTCATTTCATAAAGTTGTTAGTTTATTGATTTTGTTTGTTAGAACTTTTGTGTTAAGCTTAAGTGCGGTGTTCAGTAGATTTATACCTCTATAATTGTTGGGGTCTTCTTTATCTCCTTTCTTGAACAGTCTATATTAAACTAAAATCACTAACAACCATTCCCCAATAATCGTTCTGTTTTTTTTAATAATTCTTATTAAAAATTTTAAAGCTCAATAAAGCTGGACTTACCTCAACATTTGTTACCACTTTTAATATAAAAAGAAACAGCATACCAAAAATAAATACTGTTAAAATATTTCTGGAATCAATGATTGATGTAATTAATGGTATGGAACCCATCTGCCAGTCGTGTGATAGTGTCCACGGACATAACAGTAACCAAAAGTTGAAGGCTACTAAGTAGCTGTACGTCAAAAATCTAAAAATAAATTAAAAATGTATGCTACAAAGTGTACAGTACATGTTTCAACTCTCCTTTAGTCGAGATATTAGATAAAATCTAACAAAAATTATCCAATACACAAATTTTCTTCAAACTTTGAAAAATCATTTCCAGTCTTTTGCGATGCTATAAGAGATGTAATAATGCCGTGTCTGCATGAAAGTGAACAGTAGAACAGCATAAGGAACATATTTGTGTCTATCCTGTGGCAGTAGTCTGAATCTTATGCGCGACTGTTCCTGTGAAAATTGTTAGGTAAAATCTAATGACGCCACCTTTCTTGTTTGTGAAATTAAGTGATCTGAGTCATTTCAATATTTAGGTAAGTGTTGAGAAAATTTTAATGTACGTAAATATATTTATAGATATGGCGGTGTCACCAATAACAGAGACACTTTGGCTAAAATGGCACGAAGAAGTTCCGTCAGAGTTCAAGTCTAATCCGAATATTGATGATAATATTTCGGAGTATGGTTTACATAACACCATAGACAATCTTCAGGACACAGAAAAAGAAGTTTCTTTGACAATATTCCTAGAATTAATCCGCAAATTGGATCTCAGTTTATAGAGAAAGCTGGCACCATGTGGAAAGCATAAACCCAACTTCATTTTAGCTAAAACACGCCGTCCAAATATTCACTAAACTTCCAGGAGTGGTAAGTGAAGCTAGAACTGTAAAAGATATTGTAGACTGCTGAAAAATATTCTTTCATTTATCTCAAATCAGTTACTTTTATAAACCAGAAACTTGATGAACTGTGTTTCCCATACATCCATCCTCAGATTGTTTATCTACCAATTTAGAAGAGATATAACGTCTATAGGATAGCTTTATTTAGAAGATGTGTGTATAACACTGATTTTAATTCTTTTAAAGCTTCCAATTGATCATTTATGACCACATTGAACTTATATAAATTCATAAACACTGTATAGATGTTTATTACAAAAAAACTTACCGTACATACATAGAGGAATGGAAAGCCGCTGGATTATCTTGTTGTGAAAATTTAGGAAAGGATCCCTGCAACATTGCCAATCGAAGTGATAGTAAGACTCCAAACTAAAAAGAAATTACAGAATATAAAAATAATTGGCATGTTATAATTTTTTAATTCAAGCATTTAAATCAAAGTAATATTACAATAGATTTATAATTAACTAGATTTATATTGAGTGTTTTCTTAGTATTAATATTATTATCTATTTTATTAATATCTTGTTTTTCTGATTTTTCTTTTCCATACTGATTTATGCATGGCGACAAATGTACCACTTCTTTTTCTTCTTCTTCTTCCTTCTTGTATGTAGGCTTTAAAGCCTGTTTCTTCTTTAATATTAGCCTCCTAAATTGTTTAAATTATCGTACCACCTTTTTCTTGGTCTGCCAATACTTCTTCGTCCATTTGGTGACTTATCTCGTGCTATTCGCACTATCCTATCCTCTGCCGACCTTTTTTATCAAATATGCCACAACTACTCTGTTGATATTTCAAGTTCTGACTGAAATTCACAGAAAACGGGCCCATTTAATAATGTAGTCTGATGTTCACGTTCAACATACGCGAAACTGTCAC